GCCCTGGGCTAACATCCGTGCCCATCTTCCTCCACTTTATATGGGACACCGCCACAGCATGGCCTGACAAGCGGTGCATTGGTGTGTGCCCGGGAGCCGAACCAGCGAACCCTGGGCCGCCGCAGTGGAGCGCGCACACTTAACCGCTTGTGCCACCGGGCCAGCCCCTGCTAAATTTTTATATAGACTATTTCAGAAAAAGTCTAATTTGTTATTAGAGTATTATTGCTAAGGAAAGGATAGCAAAATTTCCTGCTTTCTTTGACATTACATTCTATTAGAGAAGAGACAGATAATATGAAAATCAAAATACGAGATGTTACACGGTAGATCATTGTTATATCAAAGAATGAGGTAGAAGAAAGCAATAGAGAAAGTTGGGAGCATTGTATTTCATAGGATGGCCTATGACTACCTCTTTGCAAGGTGACATTTGAGCAGAGACCTGAAGGAGGTAAGGGAGTGAGATAGTCAGTCTGAAGCTGTCAAGGGCAGAACATTCTAGGCAGAGGGAATTGTCAGTGCAGAGACCTTACACTGGAATACTCAAGAAACAGCAAGGAAGCCAGTATGGATGCCCTAGAGCAAGGGAGGGGAAATAAGGCTGGAAATAAGGTCAGAGAGGTAGAGGGAGGGCGAGTTCCCCGGCAGCTTGGTAGGCCACTGTAGGGACTCTCTAGTTGCTCTGCATCCCAACCCTTTAAAACAAGTAAGGCCAATACTGTTATCCCAATTTTATCAGTGAGTAAACAGAGAAGGTCACATTGCTAGTAAAGGGTAGAGCCAAGCCTGGAACCCAGGTCTTTTAATTCTCATACCCATATGCTGTCTACTACAGAACACTGCCTTTTACCTTAGCACCGTCAGAAATATGAAGAAAGAATCACTGTTGAAATACTTTGCTTTTATGTGAGAATGTGCATATTATTATCAGCTCAGGAAGCAGGAAGGCACTGATGCTTCTGATAACTCTAACTAAAGTTTGGTGTGCTCAGCATTTGAATGAGAATTTGACTTAGCTGATATAACCTAAATAGCAAATTAAATAAATTTACAGTTCTCTGTGTACTTACCCATTTATCTACTTATTAGGTGGATAGATAAATATGAATCTCCTTTTTGAGCCTTAGTAATAAAAGAAAGTGAGTTTCTGCAGCAGTCTCTAAACAGAGTCTTATATGCTCTCAGATTATAGTCAAAAGCAAAGAAAATTCTCAAATGTGATTCTTGCTGTAGAAAATTGAATGTTGAATTGCCTGCTAGGTTTATAGAAAACTTTTTCTACAATGGTAATATCAACTTAATTTCAAATAAAAATATCTTAGGCATCTGTGGATTCTTTGCCCTGTGGTCACTTTTAAGACAATGTTTATCAGTAGAAGCATTATTGTCATTTTGGCCATGGCAGTTCAACATTGTGTAAGAGTCTTCTGAGCTTTGCGGAACATTTAGGATCCCTGACCCCCAGACCCTAAATGCCAGTAGCACTCCTCAGTCTTTGTAACAACTCTAAATACGGTGTCCATTTCTAAGTGTTCCCTAAGGAGATGGTACCACCCTGGTTTAGAACCACGGTTGGTGGCCATTCTCCCTCAAGTGCAACTAAGACTCAGCCACTTGATTGCAGTGTACCCCAGGGTCACAGAGGAGAGTCGTAGTTTCCAGAAATTATTTTAAGGGCAGTGTCTTAATATTCAAATCACTAAGTTGTTTCTGGCCTTTTTATTTTTTGATTTCTAGTTTTCTTGGATCATGGAGAGAGAATGGGGATTATAAAAAAAATTTTGAGAATCTTATTAAGAATTTCTCTTGGTTCTGTACTAATTGGATATTCTCAATGGACATATAAGCAGAATATACTTTTTGCTTTTAGTATAGAACTGTGTGTGTGTGTATTCCCTTGTTCATTGTATTGCCCAAATCCTCTGTAGACTAGCCCTTTTGTGGCAAATTGACGGGTCCAATTCTGAAAGTGATTATTTAAAGTCCTCTGCCATGATAGCAATTTTATGAAGTTTTTCTTTCTCTGAGGTTTTGTTTATATCCCATTTTGCTTGGATGGTTTTTATATATTGGTTTACAATAATAATAATAGAAAAAATAATAGCTAAAACTTTTTAGTGTTTATGACAACTATTGTTTCAAACACTTTACATGTATTAACTCATTTATTCCTCATAACTGCCCTATAAGTGAGGTATTATTACATTCCCATTTTACAGGTATGGAAAATGGAGCATGGAAAAGTTAAATAATATCCCTAAAATCACAGGGTTGTTCAATAACAGAGCGAGTGACCACAGCCTGGTTCTGGAGTGTAAGCTCTTGAGTCTGTGCCCTTTTCAATACTGCCTCTCTATAACTTCTTGGACAATGGTAACTTTTACATTTATAATGTAATATAATATCCCATTTACTGTTTTTAGCCTTGAATTCTACTTTGTAGAATTGGCTGATACTTGGATCTTTTGCTGATAGGGCTTTCTTGCAGTTTTCATTTCCCTGATATATCCCTTTATTTTCAGCCTTTGTTTGTGTATTAGTTTCCCAGGGCAGCAGTAATAAATTACCACAAACTGAGTGGTTTAAAACAGCAGAAATTTGGAGGGAGAAATCTGAAATCAAGGTGTCAGCAGAGCTGTGCTCTCTCTCTGAAAGTTCTAGAAGACCATCTGTTCCATGTCTTTCTCTTAGCTTCTGGTGTGCTGGCAATCACCGTTCTTCAGCTTACAGATGGACCACTCCAATCTCCAATCTCTGCCTCCCTCATCATGCGATGTCTTCTCTGTGTCTCTTCTCCTCTTCTTAGGAGGACACTAGTCATATTGGATTAGGGCTCACCCTAATGACCTCGTCTTGACTAAGTCTGCACAGACCTATTTCCAAGTAAGGTCACATTCACAAGTACTGGGGATTAGGACTTCAACATATCTTTGGGAGAACATATTTTCAACCCATAACACTGTCACTCTATTTTTGTATATTTCCTAAAAACAACATATATCTGGATTTTGTTTTTGAAAGCAATATGAAAGTCTTTGTTTTTTTATAGGGAAATTTAACTCTTTTACATTTATTTGATTAAATAATATATTGGATTATCTTCCTTCCATCTTTATTTCAGGTATGTAATTTATTGTTCCCTCTTTTTCCTTTCCTTATTTTTACTTGCTTAATGAATTTTCTTTTAATTCCCAGCTCTTCCACCACAACTGCCTTAGTTTGGATCTTCTTTTAGGCTTCTCTATTTCATTAGTCAATATATTAAGATAATAAACAGTTATAGATAAATCTATATTTATAAATTAATCTCTTAAAACAAAACAATAGCTATCCTAACTCCCATCCAAGACATGAAATTTAGAACACTTTTACTTCATCACTGCCTCTACACCAGCCACCTTACCCCTCCAGCACCACCCCCCGAAAAACTCAGGTTTTACACACAGACAGTAAGGTTTTACTTCTCAGCTTTCGTTACATCTCTAGACATTATATATCTTTTTCTTTTTCAAGTATTTTGTACCTAGTGCTTATTTGCCAACCTCCAGTGTCTGTCACCAACAGTACACATTAGGACTTAATTTAAAATTGTTTAAGATTTATTATTTACACCTGTTCTCCTTTAAGTCTTAGTTTTTAGGTGGCTTCTAAAGTAATTTCCTTGGGTAACTTAACAACATAATTTCTCAATCTCTGCATGTCTGAAAAGGTCTATTTTTCCCTCACATGTGCATATTTTGACTTCATCTAGAATTAATTATATTTCTTTTCCCTTTAATACCCTAAGGACATTGTTCCAATGTATTGTCACCTCTAGTGTTCCAGATACTGATGTTTGTATCATTCTTTATTCTTTGTTAGCATTCTCTCCTTTCTCTCAGAAACATACAGAATTTTCATTTTATTTTTAAGAGCTCAGAAATCTCAGCAAGATACATCTAGAAATGTGTCTTTGTATTAATTTTTCTTCAGACTTTATGAGCCTTTTGAAAATGAAGATTCTAGTCTTTCTTACGTGTAATCAGTGGAAAATGTTCTCCATC